CCAATAAGGTCACCAACGCTGTGATTACGTCCTGCGTTGCTGCTTTTTCACCCATATGACCGAGAGCTTCACATGCGTTTCTTCTAACATCATCATCCGCAGTCTCTAGTGCGGTCACTAACGCTGAGATCACGCCGTTCGTTGCTGCTTTTTCACACATTTCACCGAGTATTTTGCATGCTTCTTGTCTCACATAATCGTCGACATCTCCCTGTGTGATCCACAGCACTGGGATTACGTCGTTCGTTGCTGCTTTTTCGCCTAATAGGCTGAGAGCTTTACATGCCTCATATCTGACAAACCCATCCATATCCTTCATTCTGATTTTCAGTGCTGCGATCACCTCTTTCGTTGCTGCTTTTTCACCTATCCGACCGAGAGCCTCACATGCCTTAATTTTGACCCCGTCATTCAAATCTTCCAGTGCTGTTACCAACGCTGCAATGACGTCCATCGTTACTGCTTTGTCACCTAGCTGATCGAGGAGTTGACATGCATCCTTTCGTATACCATAATCGGGATTCTCTAGTGCGGTCACTAGCAACTGTACTAACTGCGGCGGCGCAGCGTAAAGTGGTATTTTAGTTAGTAATGAGGTGACATTCCGCCATGTGTCTTTATTGTTGGTTCGCAAAAGCTTAGAGAGAATTTCGATTAGTTCAGGCTTGTTTACTATCGACGGACTTCTACATAAAGCTTCGTTTAGGTAGGTGAGTATCACTTCAGACTTTGAAAGGACGGCATATTCTACACATTTGACTATATAGTTCATTAATTCCTTACAGTGTTGGAAGTTTTCATTTTGGTGTGCCTCTTCTAAGCACGAAGTGACAATTTGCATGTGTCGTATGCCAGCCTTATCTAAGGGCTCTCCTAAGATTGTGTTCCAGAATGTCTCATTACATTTAGTGTTGCAACTGCTTCCCAGAAGTCCCGCTGCAAAGTTCAACATTAATTCAAACCGTCGGTCGTATTTATGGCTTTGGATAAATTCGATCATTTTCTGAGATTCTTCACCGTTGAGAGCAGTGACCAAGTACCGTGCTGCAAAATATTCTTGAAAACTTAGATGTACAAAGTAATGATCTTTGTCTATTTCATTTTGCGTGCCCGTGCCATAATAGCTCACCGATTTTAGAATGCCAATATTGAGTAAATGCGGATAATCCACTAACCAGCACTTAGTCTCATTCTCTGCTTCCTCAAGCAGTGTTGGCCTTAAAATGATGCAGTTATTTTTCATCCCATAAAATGCGACGCTCTGTAAAAATGCCAATTCGGTTTTGCAGTTTTCATAAACTTGCCGTTCACGCATCAATTTTATTTTTTCGATTGGAACTTCTTTTTGCTTCGTCAGATATCGTCGACATATCCACTCGGTAATTTTATTGTACAGACTTGTCATCGTTAGTGTTTTTGTTTCTGACCAGTGAGTATTGCTCCATATACTACAGATAAGTTCTAGATTTATCGGAATGTGTGCAATACCCCAAATTCTAGGATAACGTTTGAGAAAGGTTAATAGTTTTTCATCTTCAGCGGATGAGTTCTGTGCTTCATTTCCGATATCCTCAAAGAACTGCTTGACGTACATAGAAATATTATCATCTGTGAAACCTGTAATTTCCAATTGTACAGAATGAGATAAAGTATTCATGTATGGACGAGATGTTATGATATGATCTGGAGTCTTGAGTAACTGGTCATTGAATAAACTTTTGAGATGTGCGGGTACATTTTGTACGATTTCATCATAACCATCGAAAAGCCAAAGAATGCGACTTTTATGAAACTGTTCTTGCAATTGTTTTTCATCTTTTTCTGATAGATATTGATCGAAAGAAAAGCACTCTTTTTTCAGAACGTCTATAAGAGAATAGGTGGTGCCAGCTGGTAATATAGGATAGCGGTCTGTCGTCAAAGAACGTAATGGAATCAAAGCAACCAGTTCATATTCCTGCCAAATCATACCAGTTGCCCATTGGTAAGCGATGTATTGACAAAATGTTGATTTTCCAATGCCAGCTCGGCCGAATACGAGCACATTCCTTGTTTGATTCTTGCATGTTTTGAAAATGTCTTTAATATCTACTGGAGACTTCGTACCATGAATGTTTTCAAATGCTTCCATAATCGCATCGTTATGCTGAGAATCACGAAGCTTCTTTTCTTTCTCTTGCTGATCTTTAGTTTCTACTATGGACAAATTGACGTAACTTTTATCGATCTGAAAAGATTTGGCTGGATTCATGAAACGTTCAATGCGACTATTTCGTTTATATTCATATTTTATCAGTTCAAATAGATAACTTGCTCCGCCAGCTACTTGCGACGATATATATTGACGTGTTGGAGTTTGGTCTTCTATTCGATTAATCAGTTCCCGCATCTTTATTTGCATGGTTAATGGTTCAGAGGCATTATGAAAATCGACCGGTGCGAGATCTTTAGTTATCGGTTTTAACCAATTAGAAGGTTTCCACACTTTTGTATCAGTGAGCATACATGGAATGATTCGTTTTTGCCGTTTATGTGCATACTGTAATTCAAATTGACAAAAGTCAGATTTTTGATAATCCTGAGTTAAGAAACAACAAACGACTGCAGCATTTTCTACTCCTTCAGCCAAACTGCGAAAAAGAACAGTATAATTGCAATGGTTAGATAAAGGAAAACAATACAAAAAATTATACCTTTTCTTTAGATCATTTGTCGTTTCTTTTTGTTCCTTGAACCAAAGTGGTATACGTTTGAGTTGTAGATAATGATAAATTTTGGATACAATTTCTTGACTATTCGAATCATAAGATATCATAACATGTTTTCCTTCAGGAATCGGAGTACTAGAAGATACAGATTCAATGCTATAGAATAGCCAAATAGTAACAAGGGGGAAAGCTATTATGTCATAGTCATTGATACGAGAATAGTACTATATCTTGAAACGCCTGAACTACGTGAAGATGTATGGCAATGTTAATGTTCCCGATTAACTAGAATTAAGTGTATTTCGGTGATAGCAAGATTCATGCTAATTGAATTCCATACTGATGTAAATTATCTCAATTTTACCCATATTCTCAAATGAATCAATGGATGTTATCATTGTCATGACGTGTTCACTACGCTATGAAGAAGAGAAGTAGACAAAACTATACTAAAAGTAACATTTCGTAGTGAGGAAACTATTCCTGGTATTCACATGTTTAATATTTGGCTTATTTCAGATCAATCTGGGCACTCGATTTCATAGTAGAAATGAAAAAGCGACGAAAAAGCTGCCGCAAAGAATTTGATATAGTTACGAGGGCTCGGGAATGATCTACATGAGCATATCTTTCAAGGTTCGAATTCTGCTTTAAAAAAAACCAGGTTGTGTAAAACAACAAAAGCATATTCTCCTATCACTCAGTTCTAAATACAGCAAATCAAAGACTTTTCAGCTTCAATTCGAAACGTCTAGCTTGCGCATGATAAATATAAGTTTCGAAAACGTGGCGATCAAACAGGTTGAGTATGCCTAGGTATGATTAAGGGTGGGTGGGTGTGAATGTGGGCGAGGATGGTTGTTCAGTTGTTATCCACATCTACACCCAAATACATGAACTATATAAAATTTTAAGATCTATCTTTCGAAAAGCCAATCAAATTAAAGTTTGAAAATATGAGAATTTAAAGCTCACGCTTTTCAATCCCATGTAATATGACATGATGTTTCTTATACTGAGTCAAAAACTACGATGTTTAGTGAATTTCATGACTAACACATCAATTTATTAGATTTTATAATATTTTTCAAATTGACTTACCATTCATCCAAATGAACGACATTAAAATCTAATTTATTACACGTTTTGGATTTGACGCACAAACGAGTTCCAGGCATGAGAACGATTTCTTTTTCCCATGCGTCTTCATCCTTCTTATCCTCCTTTGATGAATAATCGCTAATATCTTTGCCATTAATAGTATTAATGCAAAACAGGACGCCCTTCTCGCCTGTAAAGACTGCTCCAACATTGGAATCTAACGAACATGAAATCACACTCCACCAAGTGAATATATCAGTTTCATAGTAATCGGAGCTACTAATTTGTGTAACACCCCGCCATACCGTAGTCAGACGCGACGGTAATTCCGATAATTTCTCTAGAGCGGTAATGAATAGTTTTAGAAAGTCGAACCATGATGCCAGCGTGGATGAATTTTCATCTCGAAGAGCTTCGTTGAGTTTCTTGTAGAAAGGTGTATCCATTGTGTAAAGATAGATTGCTGCCGATTCATTTATTGCCAGTTTTGTGTTTCTTGTGCAGTTTTGTTTAGCTTCGTCTACATACTGCATGACATTGCTGACGAATGGAACGATGCTTTCTACAGCTTCTTCTAATGATTTAAGAGTCCGATCCTTATAACCGGATATTGGATCCCAGTCATCTTGTTTCAGCTTTGTGCTATAATTATCTACAAAGCGTTCGCTTCTTGTAAGCGCCATTTGTTATGCTGATTGATTACCGATTTCCTATAATGAGTAAACTAATGAAAGACAAACTGAGCTATAGTTCTCCGACAACAGCATTATCCTCGTATAGATCATTCATCAAATTAGAAATAAGGTAGATAGAGTGTGGGTCTAGATGTGAGTAATCGTGGAACAAACAATCATTAATCCACATTCTCAAGATGCGTCATAAACTAATTCTTTTCTCTAATTAAAAATAAATTAAAAAAGCATCATTTGAAATCGATTTTAATCTAATTTGTTGGACCTATTTTTCGCATAGTTAGTCAGAAAATAGAAGTAAATGTCTTATTTTTTGCTACATATTGCCAGTAGGGGTAGGACAGTTCACAGTTCCAAGTTCGGATGAACTGGTCAAAAGAACTACCAGTTCAGTTCTTCTGATAGGAACTGAACTGAACCAACAGTTCTTTGAAAGGAACTGAACTGTATCAACAGTTCTTTCAGAGGAACTGGTCGGTTTCAACAGTTCTTTTAAAAGAACTGTTTTGTTTCAAATTTGTTTTTATTTCCAAAAAAATAGTTTTCACAACAGTTCTCTGAAAAGAACTGAACTGAAATAACAGTTCTTTGAAAGGAACTGAACTTGTCGGTACAGTTCAGTTCTATTCAAAGAACTGTTAATACAGTTCAGTTCTATTCAAAGAACTGTTAATACAGTTCCTAAGAACGGAACTAATATGGAACTGTCCTACCCCTAATTGCCAGCGCTTTTCAGTTTGTACAAAAATATATGCAACTCAGCAAATTTTTTTAGCTTACTGATTAAATGAGATGTTGTAACACTGATAATTTATTGATTCGTCTATGTTAACCTTCTTGTATGGAAAAATAAAAATGAATATGCAGAAGAGTATGATGTTGTGTGTCAAATATGAAGTGTTAATATCTAAAAAAGAATTGATAGGTTATACATACAACATGGCACTTTTAATGCATATATTTTTTTCTCTTGCTTCTAACCAATTTTTCTTTTATTTGAATGTAATCAAAAGTTCTGTCATCATTAAATAAAAATCTATTGATTTCAAAGTATTTCTAGTGCTTTCTCTTTTGAATCTCGAAAGAAATGGTTGAACTTCATTACTTTCAATGATATAAACAAAAACCATCTAGTATCAATACTTTTCTTTTCTCTTGATTGTGTCATTTTCTCTGTCAACTACTTATAGGAACAACACTTTTCTTGTTTGATTAACTTAAAAAATAGGACATTTCAAAACATGAGAAGTCTGATAGTTTGCACTCTGAAAACATAGCCTTCATTAAAATAAAATAATTAATCCTCACTATAATCTTTTCTTTATTAAGCTTATAAATACTTTTACAAATGAAATAAAATGAATCGATAATTTCTATAATCAAAGGGACCGTCTTAATATAATATCATTTATAGTATTAAGTGAATACTATTATAGTATTAAAAAGTCTATCATATTCATTCTCAATATCTACTACAAAACAAAGTTCATTTAGCTAGTATACTAACGTAAATCTAAGGATTTATCTGTGTTTGTTGAAATTCCTCATCTGGGAGAATGGATCAAGATAAATATTCTTTCTTTGTGACGAAATTTAATAAATGGGTATCATTCAAGAAAGACTTTTAAAATTGATGTATTAACTATTCAGGGAATAAAAAAATGATGAGTTTAGTGTAAAAAACACGAACAAAAAGGCATCTTTGATGATAAAACGGGCATTTTTTTATATATTCCATTATCACTAATTAAGACGCAAACTGGCATCAGAATTATGAAGTGAAATTGACTAAAAATCAAAATCACGAACTAATTTTAACGCAAATTTTTATTGTTATCATTTTTCTGTTCTCTGAATATTATCCAACTAGTGAGTATTAACTATACGTCAACGAAATATAATGAAAAATAAATGAAAGAATTCTTTCATCGTTTTCGACACCAAAATATAATAGATGTACATCATCATAGTGACTCTGTTAGAAAATATATAAAAGATGAACCAACACCGAATCAAAAATCGACTCGATCACACTGTATATTTTATTTTAAAATACAACATAACACGGAGTTGAATAAATTACTTCAAAACATAAGACATTTAGTTTATATTAATAAAGAAATACATACGAAATAATAATATAACTTTATATTTACTAATAGAATGGTTATGCCTACCTATGTATAAATAGCCGTTTACCTATGTGCACATAGTCAATCACGTATATATATTTGTGTGTGCGTAGTCGACTAGCCATGTACATACATATGTACATAGACACTTCCTTTTATTTAATGATTACAAAACTTTCATTTACACCTGAGTATATCGTTCTCGTTTTTTTCTGTCTTTCATATCACCTCTTCGTATTCTCATTTTTTTTCTGTTCTTGTTTATCTCTTTTACATCGACTCTTTCTATCTTACATCGTTTTTTACTTCATATCAATTTATTTCTTATGGAGTGGGTTTTTTCCTGATACTAGTTTTGAGTCATTTGCATTTGTTTTTCTTTTTATCAAATTTTTCTAATATTTTTAAAAAGTCCGATTGATTTACACGAGAACTTCTCTAGCGATACTCGTATTGAAAAAGATGTGAAAAAATTGATTTTAATGGATTTTAACCTGTTAAACTATTAATTGTACATATGACAGATACACTTATACCCATTCTAAGGAGTGCGAGTCTGAATTTCAATTAATCAATGTGTATTTTCATATACACACTCATAACCTTTTTAATTGATTAATCAGTTAAAATAATATTTCGAATTAATTTTATTTGAATTTCTAAAAATATCTTAGAATCGTAAAATAAACATCTCATATCTTAGGATTTTAAGCAATTTTAAATATTTAATCATAAATAATTCAAATTTTCAAGAAAACATTTCTAAAATTCGAATGATTTAGAAATAAGATGAAATGAATTTTATTTTTTATTTTCTATAAAATAAAAGAACAAAGTCTCTTAATTATTTTAATTAAATAATTAAACGAAAAAAAAATGAACTAAAAATATTCAATAGAATTAATTTAATTGATTCTAACGTAATGTAAGTCATTTGAATGAATTTATAAAATATAAAAATAATATTTTATTTTTTAAAAATTATTACAATGAACGATTCGATTAACAATTCTATAAAAGTTTATTTTAATTAGAAAAGAAAACTTTCAATATACAATTTTGTTATTCTTCAAAGGAATTGTTATTTTGAACATATATCTAATAATACTTTTATTATGAAAAATAATTAGAATAAGATGAATGAATTGATTAGTAAGAATTTAAATAGAAAAAAGAAATATAATCCTTTTAGTTCATAATAAAGAATTATTTTAATTACTAAAATTAATATTTAACTTTTTCAATTAATTTAAAATTTTAACAATTGAAAAATAAGATGAAAGAATTTAGTTTTCTTTCATAAAAAATATTTTCATCTATGTAAAGTCTTTCATAATTTTTCTTCTCGAAATTTCTGTTTATTATCAAATATAAAGAAAAATCTTCAAATATTTTTATGATAGAAATAAAAGAGAACAGATGATTATTATTTATTCATATATTAATCTAATCATATTTTAAATGTTCGATTGAATTATTTTATTTTAAAATTAGGATTGGAATGACTGTAATATTCAGATTCACCCATGCTTTACTACAATGTGTAACAGTTTTTTTCAAAATCCTAAATGATATTGTTGCAACGATTGGTTAAAACCAAACAATTGAAGGACACATTATAAGTCTTATAAGTAGAACATTTGCGTCTCAATATATGTAAACTACCAAAATGAAAGTTCCTTTCATCATTATTAAACTTGTCATTTTAACAATGTGTAGCTAAAACAAAACAACTTACACATTTATCATCAAAAACAACTACATGCTGATGGAAGTAAATGTTCAGTAGGGTAGGTGTAGGTATGAATATTATATATTGATATCATATCCACACCCACACTCTCAATCTATGTTCTTCTAATAAAAATAATATATCGTGGAATGATCCACCAATAAATTATATATACAAGTAAAATACTAGTCACTAGCTCTAATAGCTTTTCTCATACTTGATATATAAAAAAACACATGATTATACTACTTCGCACGATATCCAACATTATAAAAACATATGAAAAATGAATTGCGCGAATGCAATTGTGTATAGCTAATCAAGATGATTATTTCGAACATTTGATAAAATAAACAATTGATAAACTTAATCTTGTATTTTATGTACTACTGTCACCAACTAGAGTTCCACAAAAAAAGTTGTTATCGGAATTTTATTATTATGATCTTAGTTCGGTATTGATCAAGTAGGATAAAAAGATACAGTGAAAGAAAGACGCTCTATCTATTCGTAAAGTAGCAATTAATATGATAGATGTCCTTCTATTCTGATAACGATTAATATATATTTATTCATCTAGAAAAAAGAATACGAATTTTTATTTAATTAGAAGATAATTAATTATTTAGTATCTTTTAATAGACATTAAATATTAAATTAACGCCACCTATTTAATTTACTATTTATCTCAATCTCTCCTAAGTTAACCATAATTTTCTAGTGGATCGATTTTAAATGTCTTCTTTATTCAATAATATGTTTGACTAAATAAAATCAATAATTTTCAATATTAAGAAAAGCTAAATTTGTAAATCTTCCTCTATAACAATGTCAGAATCTTTGACATTGAGTATGTTCAGTTTAGCCATGTTTCTTGGTTCTTACTTATCCGGCCTTGTTCCACTTGCATTTACTCTTTCTGAAGTAGGTTATACATAATTTTCATTGATCATGTAAATTAAACGAAAAATAAAAACAATTGTTTAGACCAAAATGCGTTATGTTACCGTACTTGGCGCTGGTCTATTAGTTGGTACAGCTCTGGCAGTGATTGTTCCTGAAGGTGTTCATGCACTTTATATGAGTGAATTAGAAACAAATCAAATGCAAACTCAACATGAATTTCA